GAAGTAACACTCCGCACCCTCTTGGAGTCGACTCACCCCAGATGCAGAGAGGTGCTCAGCCTTCGGCTCCCCAACCTGAGGAGAGGGCTGTTGCTCTGTAGCGTTCCCTTTATAACTTTAGATACAAGAGTCTATGTGAGTTCTCTGTCCACACACCACATCCTCAAAGAATCATCTTCACCCTTCGTAAAAGGGTTGTCTTTTCCCCCGCATTTGCACTCCTTGACGTTACACTCTGATTCCATGGTTTTTGATAGCCACCTAAATCCAATACCTTTTTCACAAAAGAGCCTTTAATATGTTTCTAAGGGAAGTGAATTTGAAGTCTGATGATGCAGATGCAAGTGCAGGAGCCACAACTTAACCAGTGATATCACTTTAGACTTAACCTCTCTGTGCCATATTTTCTCTAATTGTAAATTTCTAATAATAGTACTTGCCCTAATTTTCCATAGTGTTGTTTTGACCATGAAATGAGGCAAGAATGTAAAAATATTTTGTAAGGTTCTGTAGAAGTATATATGTTTTTGTTCTTATCTTCCTATTTTAAAAGTGTTAAAAACATTGTTTAGATTCTCCTACACTTCAAACTCCTTTCGGGCAAATTAGTTATCAGAGAGGCAAAAAGTAAATAGAAATGAAGTCAGCAGCTGTAGGTCATCACAGTACACATGGACTACCCTTTACCTGCTTGGTTCCTCTGAACCTCACTACTTGGAGTGTGGTCTGTGGATCAGAAGCATTGGCATAATCTGGGAGCTTATAGAAATGCCAACCCTTAGGTCCCACCCTAGATTTACAGATTCATAATCTGCATTTTAACAAGAACTCTAGGTGCTTTGTGTACACATTTAAATTCGAGAAGCACAATATGGCATAACATGTGGCACCAGTAGCCTGCAAGGTGATTCTATAGAAATGCAAATCGGAACCACAATGAGGTATCACCTCACCCCAGTCAGAATGGCCATCATCAAAAAGTCTACAAACAATAAATGCTGGAGAGGGTGTGGAGAAAAGGGAATCCTCCTGCACTGTTGGTGGCAATGTAAATTGGTGCAGCCACTATGGAGAACAGTATGGAGGTTCCTCAAAAAACTAAAAATAGAGCTATCGTATGATCCAGCAATCCTACTCCTGGGCATAGGTCCGGAGGAAACTCTAACTCAGAAAGAATCATGCACCCAGTGTTCGTAGCAGCACTATTCACAATAGCCAAGACATGGAAGCAATCTAAATGTCCATCGACAGATGAATGGATAAAGAAGATGTGATATAGATATATAGATATATATATATATATATATATATATACACACACACACACACACACACACACATATGCACACATGTGTGTGTGTATATACACAATGGAATATTACCCAGCCATATAAAGAAAGAAAGAATGCCATTTGCACCAATGTGGATGGGCCTAGAGATTATCATACTAAGTGAAGTAAATCAGACAGAGAAAGGCAAATATCATATGATATCACTTATATGTAGAATCTTAAAAAAATGATACAAATGAACTTATTTACAAAACAGAAATAGACTCACAGACATAGAAAACATACCAAAGGGGAAAGGTGGGGGAGGGATAAATTTGGAATTTGGGATTAACAGATACAGACTACTATATATAAAATAGACAAACAACAAGGATCTACTGTATAGCACAGGGAACTATATTCAATATCTTGTAATAACCTATAATGGGAAAGAATCTCAAAAAGAATATATATATTTATAACTGAATCACTTTGCTGTATACCTGAAACATAAATCAACTATACTTCAATAAAAAATAAAAATTAAAGATGATTCTTTACAGTAATGCAGTAAGCATGTTTTATTTTAATCATTAGGTTTGAAGAATATTAGAAGAAAATATTGCTAGCTCATGAAATCTGTTATTTCATAGATTTTCCCTAAGGTGAGGCTAACAAATAGCTGACAAATAGCTTTTAAAAGACGAGTTAATTTAAGAAATTATAAGTAATAGGGTAAGTGATACTTGAACATGGCAAAAATTAAGAAGGTGGCTCTTGAGTGATTGGCCTTCGGGTAACCTTAGCCTAGAAGCTTGGTGAGATCCAGAGCAGGGTCATAGTAGCTGTGTGGGACCTCTGAGGTGCCTCCAGCCCTGGCCAAGGGTGCACGTAGGAGGTATAGTTCTCGTGTGTTCTGGGCACCCTGTTCAGACTAGGGGTGTTCAGCATCCTCTTCCACTAACCAGATGAGAATACGGACTGAGTACAAGGTCTGGGACCCTTTCTTTATCTCTTTCACTCAGCGGTGTTTTGGGAAGAGCTCAGGCACCAAAATACCCTTTATTTATCTACTGCTTAGAGGAACTTAGATGGAAGATTCTTCGATTTCTTTCACTGTGCCAGCCATTGTCAAATCTGTGAACAGTTTATCCAAGAAAGTTTTCATTCCCCATAACTCAAGTTTCTCTTGGGATCAATTATGGAGTCGAGTTCAATTCCTTACGAGGTCAACTTTTTAAGATTTTCCTATATTTTTTCTTCTCTTTCATTCCTTCAGTAACTTTCAAAATTATAAAAGTAATACAACTAAATTCTTCAGCATTTAGAATGTAGAGGGGGGAAACGCTTCATGAATTACAATGCTGTGCTTGTGCAAGTGCCCTGTGAATTCTCTCTGAACCATTCTAGTGCTGCTAAAATAAACACCTGTGTGGTTCTTCAGTTCATATTCCCATTTTTTTCCTCAGGTCATTTGTACTCCATCTTGACATTACACTCTCTTTCTATGGTCTTTGATTAATACCCGAATCCATCACCTTAGCCAGATTACGTAGTTTACTTGAGAAGGATTTCCTTGCAAATGAAACTCTCTAGCCTGTTGATCAGTGTTTTTGCTCCCCGTGAAAAACCTTCCCAGGAAGAGGAGACTAATATTGCATTTATATCTTCTGGGGAAAAAATGTGAAACATTAAAACGTATTAATAGGAAAAAACTTTTTCAGAGATTTATAAATTGAAGAAGGGTGGTAACTTGCACTATTGTAAACAAAGATATCTATGAAAGTTCTTGAATTGTCTGCATACAAAGCTGAGATAGTTAAACTTGATTTTTAAAATATTACTCAGACTTCTTATTGTCATCCTGTGGACAGTTTCCACATTTTGGCTATTTTTTTTTGTTGTAGTGGAGATACATTCTAAAATAATTTCCTTCCTACAGTTGCTGAGCTTACCTACTTCCTAAATTCTTCCATTTAAAGTAATATACATGAAACAAAATTAGGAGACAAGTAGCAGACTAGGGTAAAACTTCGCATATACACATGACAAAGGCCTAATTTTCTTAATATACACAGAGTTCTGTAAATGATTAAAAAAGAATAACCTAGTACAAAAATGAGAAAGGATATAAACCTGAAGAAAAAATTTTAAATGACCATTAAACATGAAAAAATATTCAATCCATATATCATCAAAACAGGTTGTCATTTTCTTACCTATCAGGTTGACCAAAATTAAAATGTTTGAAAAACCCCAGTGTTAAAGGGTAGGGAAAAAAACATGTTGTTTTGGAATTATGAATTGTGTAATTTTTCTGAAGAGTGATTTGGCAATATTGATCAAAATGTGAAATGCATGTACACTCTGACCATGAAATTTCACAGATACACAGAGAGATATAAAATGATAGTGTTACAGCATTATTTATAATAGCTTGAACTGAAAGCAACCTCTGTCGTCCTTCAGGACAGTTTACAGTGGTACCATTATTTATTGAGCCAGTGGAATAACATTCAGCAGCTTAAAAAAATGTGTTAGATTTATATGAAAAAAGTGGGAAAAACCAAAGTATAGAAGACTGTGAATAATATGACCCCATTTGTATTTTTTTTTTAAAAAAAGAGAGGGGATAAAAGGATGCTAATGTATGTGGGAAGAAAAAGTTCTTTGAAAAGATGTACCAGCAACAGATAGCTGTTAATTCTAGGAAGAATTAGCATCTCCTCCTGTCCCCACTTTCATTCCCATCCCTAATAGTAATGCTCTTCCTGAGTATTAACTGAGGGTCTTCACTTTCCCTAGTGAATGGCTTTTGAGAGAGAAAACAAGTATCGGTGAAGCAGCCAAAGGGTTGGCAACTGAGGGAAAAACAAAGACCCAATATCAGAAATGAAAAGCTTTATGCTAAGAAAAACAAGCCATTCTTTGGCTTGTTTAAGTGGCTCAATTAGCCACTTAAAATAATTCAGATAAACATAATGGTATTTTCCTAAAGAAGAATTTGGTTTGGGTTTCCTGGGTATTTATTCCAATTTCCCATTGCTCCTATAGGGAAAACAAGGTTATTAAATTGTCCTCATTTCCATGGCTGGTTTGAGGGTGGAGGCTTTGGGTTATTGATGTAATCTTCTTTGAAGTGAACTTTTGCCTTCTTGAAATAGACCTAGACGTGCCTGGGTTCCCCCAGTGCCTGGAAGTGCATTTGGACACCAGGATTGAGTTATGAAATAGATCCTACTTTTACACCTCACCTTTTCCAGTTACCTAGCATTTTAAATTTATCCAATAGCATTTTACTTAGTTTCTTTTTTTTAGTACTTTCAGAAAACTATTTAAAATTTTGAGGTACCTCAGTTTTTAACTCAACTGTTCTATATATAAATTTCATTTTAATATTTAATATTTTCCAGTTCCCTGGCCCGCCTGCCCCCGTCCCTGCCCCACCCTTCACCCCCAGGACTGCATCTAGTGTCATAAACTTGTCTTTTATTTTGCCTTTGAGGGCCTCTTACCAGTACTCTGTTTGGGTGTCTGGGGACCATATCTGGAGAAACCCTTTGCCAAGTGACAGCTCTTCTACCAGCTTTCATACACAGTTGAGTAGGAACCATGGAAAAAAAAGTTTTCTCAACTTTATTTCTGCTTTTTGCTGCCACCCAAGTTCTCCCTCTGCAGTTTTTCTTCTAGTCTGAACTCTGTGGTAGTGACGGTGCTCGTTTCTTTCAGATGGAGACTATTTTACCTTTACAAGACACGAACCTGTTGGAGTGTGTGGACAGATCATCCCAGTGAGTGTATCTCCTCACGCCTCGTATTTATTTTCATTTGAACCAGTTCTCTTAAAGATACATAAAACATGGACCTCAGCAATGTGTGTTTTCCATTACTGGGGGAAAAAAAAACTGAGTTCATGTTGTTGACATATCTTTAACAGCCTCCCTGCAAATGCTTATTTGAACAGGTTAATAGGGTTTCAGCTTTGTTACCAGGAGTTGAGTTCTCAAGTCATGGAATTCTCATGATTAAAATAAGCAAAGCAAAGTCTAGTGTATTAATAACCTGCCCTTGGTTATGGATGTCCATTCTGCTTATGGAAAATTAATACTTTGTTATATTTGCTTGTTTATTTTTTAGAACTGTGACTCACCATTTTTCCAGGCATATTGTTTTATATGATCTTTTAATCCCATTCTTTCCCACTGTTTCTTTTCATAAGAATCTAGATAGAAGACTCTACAGAAGACACAGCAGTACAATTAACGTCACAGTCATAATTGAAACCATGCCGGGCTGTTGTGTATCTTGTACAGGGAAATATATGTAGTGCTTAGTGTTTGGATTGGAACATTAAACATTTTTTTTTCTCTCTGTCTCATACACAGCCTTGGCACTATACAAAACATCATCGAATCTGCCAACAGAAGATTCTAGCTAATCGTTCTGGCAAGGGTTTCAGGGAAGGCTCAATTTAAATTCTTACAGTATAGACAAGAAGTTTTCTCTTCTCAAAATATAGGAGAACAATTCAAGATAATCTTTGGCTTTGGAAACCACAGATTTTTGAGGAGTATTAATATATTATTTTAGTGGTCCATAAGCTCTAGGTTACTGTGAGATTTATTAGAGAATGAAAAGGGAAGATGCGAGATTTGGTTTAACTTCTTCTGCTCCTAAACCACCCAGGGAAATCCTACTCAGCTCAGAGCAGGGTTGAGGTCTGTCACCTTAATTGCAGGAACTCAAACCTGCTTTTCCTGCCCTTCCCCAGACTCTTGGAGCTGCAGCTTTCACTGACAGGACAAGAGCCGCTTGTCAGCCAGCTCGGCTCAATTACTGCACTCCAAGATTTATATACTGTAGATGGAATTAAAACATCACTGTGTACTCCCAAGTTTATAAACAACTAAGGGGAAAAGAAATTGGGTGTTTGGTGAAGGCAAGACACTTGTATATTTTTGCAAGCTTGCCCGGGCCAGTGAGAATCTTTCAAGGATGGCAGCTGAGATGCTTCAGGCAGAAACACATTGTGATCAGGGGCTGAAGCCAGGGGACCAGGATTTTTGTTTTCTTTCTTAATGAAATTATCAACGACACCTGATAGTACTGAGGCTCATGCCTGCACTTATAACAATACAAGCTTAATATCCTTTTAAAATCAGTTTAAACCATTTTAGGCTGCAGACTCAGATACTCACATATATTTTTTAGTCTCCATTAGCTTTTTTTTGCAGTGTCAAAGAGACAAACTAAAACTTCTGCATACTCATCAGTAGATGCTCTTTGTTTTTTGTAATCATTTGTTTTGTGACAATACATGTAGGTAAAGAAAAAGGTGCTGCCTGGAAATATACACTGACTTCTAGTTCTTCCACACTGAAGAGCTTTCATACCAGCCTGAAATCCTGGTGTAAAAATCACAAATGCAAGAAAAAGTTTTCATACAGAAGAACTTACTGGAACCAAAGGCTAATTTTAAAAACATATAAAGTAACACCAATGAAAAACCAAAACAAAACAAAGAAAAAACAAAGACTCCCTTTTTACCATGAGATTTCTTTTTGTGAGTAGCTGGAAATAGTAATTTGCTGACCAGAGAGAACAGGAGAGATTTTCACGGTTAATCCTATTCTGTTCTTAATGAAGTAATTAAAAAATCCAAACATCTATACTCTGGTGGGACAAGATTTATGTTGAGGACTAGTCTGAGACATCTGAGAAGTCACAGCTTGAAAACAAAGTAATGGAGGAATATTGTTCATCTATCAACCTGGAGTTTTTGCCTTTCAGTGGAACTTCCCCCTGCTGATGTTTGCCTGGAAAATTGCTCCAGCTCTGTGCTGTGGCAATACAGTAGTTATTAAACCAGCAGAACAAACACCACTCAGCGCGCTCTACATGGGAGCCCTCATCAAGGAGGTAAGAGAAACTGACTTCAGGAGCGGCTCCCACTCTCCTTACAGTTGGGGCCTACTGGAGCATATCCGATTTAACGTGCTTCATCAGCTTTCACAAGCCACGTTTCCTCCAATTCTGTTTTGTTAGGCTGGCTTTCCACCGGGAGTCATCAATATTTTGCCAGGATACGGGCCAACGGCCGGGGCAGCAATAGCTTCTCACGTTGGCATAGACAAGATTGCGTTCACAGGGTCTACTGAGGTAGGTGCCTGAGAAACCATAGCTTGAAGAACAGTTCTGCAAATGAGTAGAGGGCTTAAGAGAAAATTGAAAATGTCACCCATAGGCTGAACACCTAAAGAGCAGTGAATGCCCAAGGTCTCAAGGAGCAGCGTTGGTATCATAGCTAGAAGACTGATGAATGTCAAAGTAAAGGTGTACATTGACTATTTGATGCCACAGATCTCTGAGGTCTTTTGGTATGCCATTTGTGGGACTGAGACCAGTCCCAGAAAAACAAACAAAACCCTATTATATTTTGAAATAAAAGGAACACATATCAGAGGCAAAAACAAACTAACAAACTGTCCCACAAAAGTGTCCCAGAAGCTGGGATTCTGAACACTTTCTTAAATCAAGATCGTAAGATAAGAACTGGAGATCTAGGGACTTCCCTGGTTAAGACTTCACCTTCCAATGCAGGGGGGTGCGGGTTTGATCCCTGGTTGGGGAGCTGAGATCCCACATGCCTCGTGGACATAAAATAGAAGCAGAATTGTAACAAATTCAATAAAGACTTTAAAAATGGTCCACATCAAAAAAATCTTAAAAAAATATATAAAGAACTGGAGATCTAAATTAATCTCTGGTCTTATTATATCACCAAATCCTGTAGATGCAGTTTGCAGCTTACTATGGCCATGAGCCATAAGGGGTGATATAGAGTAGAGGTCAGCAAACTTTTTCTGTAAAAGGCCAGATGGCAAATATTGTAGACTTTGCCGGCAATATGGTCTCTGCTGCAACTATTTAACTCTGCCCCTGGAGCACGAAGTAGCCGTAGGTAATGTATAAGCTGAACAAGGCTCCAGGCCAGCACTTCATGTCCTGTGCTGGCTTTGCTCTGGGGGCAGTCAGCTCTGCTTGCCTGCCTCTTGGCTCAAGCACTACCGAGCCACACAGCTTTCACGAGTTATCAGCCCTTCTGGTCACATGGGGCCGGAAGACACTCTACAGTGGGTGGTGCCGTGATTCAGCTCCTTGTCCGGGCAGGGCAAACTGGGCTCTAGGGCTAGCAAAAGTCCTTATTTGAGTAGCTGAATCAGGCAGATCTGCCACCCTCTGTGTTCCCTGATCAGAGTGTGCCCCCAGTTTGGTTCTGCAGATGAGCAAAGCCACTGGTTGGGATTACTGCTTGGTCACCGCAGGTAGGAATTCAGCCTGCCAAGATCTGTGTGCTGCAAGCCCCTACCCCCTTCACTGTCACAGTCACGTTCCCAGTGCTTGAGCTCCGCAGAGTCCCCTGCGATCCCTGTGGTACGAGATCAGAGTAGTGGCTCCCACAAATTAACTCACAATTCTGGCTTCTCTTTTCCCACTGGAGGAACCAGAGGGTCAAGAGAGATCTCTCCACGTGGTGCTGCAATGGCCTGGGGGAGGGACAATGCGGTCACAGTGTAGGCCGCTTTTCATAACCCTCCTAATGGAGTCTGTCTGGGTCTCTATGGTGCAGGGGAGTGCTTCAGGCTTAACCTTGTGTTCTAGGATTCTCTCAGTGATGTCTTGTTTTTTTTAATAGTTGTTAGTTATGCTTCTCGTGAAGGGGGAAGCAAAGTCTGGAACAACCTATGTTGCCATCTCTGTAACATCAGTCCTCAGTATTTTCACTAGTACCAGGTTGCTTTCATTATTAGGTTTTAAAAGATGTGTTGTAATATGGTAGGCAAGATGCCCTCTTATTTGATTTTTCAGAACCTTTTGGCTATTCTTTCCCATTCTTTCAGATAAAATATCAAATTAGTTTTCCAAGTATCTTACCTTCCTCTACAAAACTCTCATTGGAATTTTGATTGGTGTCATATTACCTGTCTATATTAAATTGAGGGATAAGTGCTCTCTCTAGAAGATTGACTTCTCATCTAGGAACATAATATAAATCTCTTCATTTATTTGTCCTATAATGTTCATCACTGATATCATCATTTACGTGTTAGGCTTTTCTTGATAAATTAATTTCTGGGGATTTAACTTTTTGTTCCAAGGATATTTCAGTTTAAAAACTGAGCACTTTTTTTTTTAAGTCACAGTACCATGTATTGGAAAGTTATATTGAAATGATGACTTAATCTTTCAGGCCAGACAAGAAGTGACATAGTGAATCAATAAGAACATAAGTGCTTGTTGCCAAGTTGCCTGGGTTTAAATCTCTGTTTTGCCATTTAAAAAGTTTTTTAAACTTTTAAAAAGACTTTATTGAAGTATAATTTACACACAGTAAAATGCACCCATTTAAGTACCAAATGTACACAGTCATGTAACCATCACTCAAATTAAGATATAGAATATTTCCATACCCTAAAAAGCTTTGTCATACCTTTGGCCTCAGGCAACCACTGACCCTTTTTATTAATTTTTCTTATTCTATTAGTTCACATAAATGGACTGATACAATATGTACTCTCCTGTGCCTGATTTTTTTTTTTGGTGAGGGGGTTGTTGTTCAGTATTTAACGAATTTTTGATATGATTGGGTTTGAATCTCCCATTTTGATTTTATTTTCTACTTGTCCCATTTGCTTTTTGTTCTTTTTCTCCTCTTTTTCTGCCTTATTTTGGATGAATTTAGTACTCCATTTTATCTTTTATTTTGGATTATTAGCTAAGCCTCTTTTTTATATAAATTTATTTATTTAGTTTTATTTTTGGCTGTGTTGTGTCTTTGTTGCTGTGTGCAGGCTTTTCTCTAGTTGCGGTGAGCGGGTGCCACTCTTTGCTGCAGTGCGCAGGCTTCTCATTGCAGTAACTTCTCTTGTTGTGGAGCACGGGCTCTAGGTGTGTGGGCCTCAGTAGCTGTGGCATGCGGGCTCAGTAGTTGTGGCTCACGGGCTCCAGAGCACAGGCTCAGTAGTTGTGGTGCATAGGCTCAGTAGTTGTGGCTTGTGGGCTCTAGAGTGCAGGCTCAGTAGTTGTGGCTCACAGGCTTAGTTGCTTTGCGGCATGTGGGATCTCCCCGGACCAGGGCTCGAACCTGTGTCGCCTGCATTGGCAGACGGATTCCCAATCACTGCGCCACCAGGGGTGCCCCAGCTAAGCCTCTTTTTAAAGTGCTTGCTTTAGTAATTACAACATGCATCTTAATCACAGTCTATTATTTAAAAGTATTATGTTACTTCATATATAATGTAATAACAATACAACAGAATTCTTATATTTCTCATTCCATCCTTCATGCTACTGTTGTTCTATAATTCACTACTGATATATGTTATATAGCCCATAGTACATTGCTACACTTTTTGTTTTAAAAATTCAACTATCTTTTCAAAAAATTTTTTAAATGAGAAAACAAAATTATTTTACATTTACTCACATACTTGCCTTTTCTGACCCTCTTCTTTTTTTTGGGGGGGTTTTTTTGGTCCATGTTTCTTTCTGATATCATTTTCCTTCTATATAAAGATCTTTCTTTAGCATTTCTTATAGTGCCGGTCCGTTAGTGAAAAATTCTCTCAGCTTCTGTTTGTCTGAAAATGTCTTTATTTTGTTTTCATTTTTTATGACTTTTTCCTGAATATAAAATTCTGATTCAACAGTTTTTATTTTATTTTACTTTCAACACTTGAAAGATGTCATTCTGTTTTTTTATGACTTGCTCTGTTTCTGATAAGAAGTTAGCAGTCATTCTTATCTTTGTTTTACTGTATATAACTTTTTTTCTCTGGGGGCTTTAAAAATGTTTTCTTTTTACTGATTTTCAACAATTTGATTATGATGTGCTTCTGTGTAGTTTTCTTTGTTTTTCTTCCCATTTGAGGTTCATTGGAAATTCTTGGATCTATGAGTTTATATTTTCATCAAATTTGGAAAACTTTGGCAGTTATTTTTCAAATATATATGCTTTTTTCATGTCTGTTAATTTTTGAAAGAATGCTGAACATTGTGACCATTACCTTATTGAACATGTGGATTTTGTTTTCTTTCTTTAAAGAGTGCTGGACTTTCTTCTGTAAAGTGGTTAAGTCGCTTGCAGTACAGCTTGACCCTTCTGACACTTAATTTTAAGCTTTGTTAAGTACTAGCTTATCTTTTACTAAGATACTAAACTTTATTAAGATTACTAAGTTGGGATCCTTCTGGAGTTTCTGCTGAATGTTCTCAGTGTTCAGCTAGGTCTTTCCACTCTGGCTAGTCAGAACTCAAATGTTCCCAACTCTATATGAGCTCTGGGGATTATTCAGCATACAAATTACCTGGTCTTTGTTCTTTATCCAGTCTTGTGGAGTTTCACCATATGTATACCCAGTTTAGCCTTCAGCCAAAGACTTGGTGGGACCCCCATAAGGTTTCTTGACTGCACTGTCTCCCTCTGGTACTAAGCCCCTCACATTTTAACCACCTTATTCTCTCTAAACTCTGATCTATTTCATCAATTCAGTGAGACCACCGTGTTCTACTTTGGTCTCCCCATCCCATGCTGCAATCTAGAAAGTCTTTTGGCAGAAAGGTCTTCCCTTGTTTGTTTCTTTTATCTCTAGAATCACAGTCCCATACTGCCTGATATCTCATTTAAAGAAAGCAATTTCTTGTACCTTTCTAGTTTACCATGAGAGGGCAAGTCCAGTGACAGTTTTTGACAAATAGACTGCCAGTTATTCCTACAGCCAAAATGGGTTTATTCAGAATCAGTAAAGAATTGCAGCTTGGGGTCTGCAACCATGGCAAACCACATGCAAGTCCTTCCACAGCAAGGAGAGGACTCTTAAAGAAGGGAAAGGGAAATTCGAGGGCTACAGTAAACAGAGTCCATTGGAGAAATTGACAGTTTGAAGTATAGTGGCTTTTCATTGGCTGAGGTTGTGACAGTCTCCTCTAATTGGATGAGCTCTTGCCAGGCAAGAAGAGGAAGTCTTTCTTTTTCCTGTTAGGCTCTACTCTTGTCATAGGTGTTAGAGCTCCCCTTTCTGGTCTCCCAACTCTATCTTTTTTTTTTTATTTATTTATTTATTTATTTATTTATTTTTTTCTCCCAACTCTATCTTAAT